GTCAAAAGCACTATGTTTTGTTTAAGAAAAAAGAAATAAAGGTTTTTAATTTTTTTAGAGCTAATTCCAAAAAAAAACACCAACTTTGCTTTGAATAATAATTCTGATCCGAACTTTTTTTGTCTCAATAAAAAACACTAACTTTTACTTGAGTCCTAAATGTGGCCCTCATAATGCGAAATTATGTTTTTTTTTTGGAATTATGTTTTTTTTGCCTCTAATTCATATAATTTATCATTTTATTTTGTTAAACAATAATTTTTTACTGTATTTGTCAATCGCGGCGTCCGTAGATCATATTGAAAGTCCAACGTCCCTAAAAAATCCACCTTCCTTCGTCCCCGATAACTCCCGCAGCTCCACGACGACGACGACGATGACGCCCCTCCGCAGAACGCTCTCCAAGCTCCCTCTTCTCCAGCCATGCGCTCGCGTCGTCCGATTCTCCGCCGCGGCGGACGGCGAGGCCCCCGCTCCGGCGGCCACCGCGGTCCCGGCGGAGGCCTCCTCCGAGAGCTCCCCGCCCATCGACGCCGGATCGTCGATTCGGAAGCCGATCAGCCTGTGGCCCGGCATGTACTTCTCCCCCGTCACCAACGCCCTGTGGGAAGCGAGATCCAAGATGTTCGAGGAGGCCGGCGACGCCGGCGCGAGCGGGAAGGCCGCGTCGCCGGAGAGCGAGTTGGTTCCGAGAAGCCCGTCCAGGAGCAGGACGAGCATTTTCTACAAGTTCTCGGGCGATTATGTGCTCAGGGAGCAGTATAGGAATCCTTGGAATAAGATCAGGATGGGGAAGCTGGTGGAAGATCTCGATGCCCTCGCTGGGACTATATGCTATAAGGTAGATAAACTGAGCTTTGAACGACTATCGGATGGCGATGCGTTCTTTTCCTCTCTCTGAATGCGGTGCCGTTTATACTCTGCGATGTTTTTCGTGCTAAAGCTTCTCGGTGCATATCCTATGGGCTTTTTTCTGCAGAAGATGAATTGCATACGATGTCGTTGACACTACTAGAGTTAGGTAATACAGTTTGCGGTGCTTTGATAAATTCCCGATATAGAACTGATAGATACTGGTGCTTAGTTGGTGGGTAATCAGTTCTAGTATTCTGCTATTAGTAGTCTGAATGTCAAGTCCTTGTTTGAATAATCTAGAACTGGCCATCTGGTATTACAGAGGAGTTCATTTCTTGGACGAAAAGATCGAACAACATGCTACTTATTTGCCATAAGCAGTAACTTGTCTCTATCATTTGTGTAAGAGCATGTCTAAATTCTCATCGATCTTTGTCCATATCAGGTTCTGCAATCGGAGGCTTAGTGCTTAAGTTCTCTAGTGATTATTCGTAGTTCATACAGTGTGGAATTCATCATTAGAATCATGCGTAACAGAACATCCCCCCATTGTATTTAGCCTTTTTCTTTTGGACCAGCATTGCTCCAGCGACGATGGCACCACAAGGCCTCTATTACTAGTCACTGCTTCTGTAGACAGGATGGTTCTCAAGAGGCCAATCCGTATTGACACTGACTTGCAAATAGCGGGAGCTGTTACATGGGTTGGGCGCTCGTCGATGGAGATCCAACTGGAAGTAACTCAGTCCACAGAAGGTATTATGTGAAACATGGCTTATTGGACGAGAACATACATTTCCATCGGCTGCCACTAAGCAGTTGCAGGAGTGCGTTACTCCTGATCCCAAAGGATGGTGTCACTTTGATGGCCGTGCCTTAAGTAAATGTTTATTCTTCGCAAGCATACTTGCTCTTGCATGATTTCGCTACTCTACTTGTAAAAACTATGGTGAAATTTGCTAATTTGCTATCCATCCACCATTCCCTTATTACCAAAAAATAAATAAATAAAACAGTAAACCTGTCCATGCTATGGAGAAGCTTGCTAATCAACATCCTCTTATGCTGGTTTGTCAAGGTTTCTGACATGTTGGTCAATCACAATATTCAGATATCAGATCTTCATAAAGTTATCCTTTCCATGATATAATCTTATGACTGATCCGTTCTGCTGTTTACCTTAAACTGGCAATTCCATGCAGAAACCCGGGATTCCTCAGATTCAGTTGCACTTACCGCCAATTTCACATTTGTGGCTTGTGATTCTAGAACTAGGAAATCAACTCCAGTTAACCCTATCTCACCAGAGACAGAGAGAGAAAAATTACTTTGGCAAGAGGCAGAAAATAGGAATAAAATGAGGAAAAATAAGAGAGAAGAACGTAACAGAGATGCTAAGGTAGAGGACTTGTCCAGGCTCCAGGCTTTACTTGCCGAAGGTCGTGTCTTCTGTGATATGCCAGCTTTGGCAGACAGAGATAGCATTCTGATAAGAGATACTTGTTTTGAGAACTCGCTAATATGCCAGCCACAGCAAAGGAATATCCATGGGAGAATATTCGGAGGATTTTTAATGCGAAGGGCTTTTGAATTGGCCTTTTCAACCACATATGCCTTTGCTGGTGTGGCCCCCCGTTTCGTTGAAGTTGACCATGTTGATTTCTTGAGACCGGTAAGTACTCATCCTGTGCATGATGTATTTGTATGTGTAGGTGATGCTGTTGCATGACTTAGCTGCTGAGTGTGGAGCCATGGCAATCAGCAGGGATGGTCACACTTGTGCCTTCACTCTTGCCGTCTGATGTATATAAGTAAAATTATGGATCTGTTAAGTGGAAGATCCTAATATGAAGGATATTATCTTTGGGATGTAGGTGGATGTTGGTAATTTTCTCCGCCTCAAATGCTGTGTTCTGTATACGGAGCTTGACAATCCAGCTGAACCCCTGATAAATGTCGAAGTTGTGGCCCATGTGATGCAACCTGAGCTCAGATCAAGCGAGGTACTTGTGGCCCATGCGTGTTACATTTTCTTTTAGCAAATTTTGATATTGTTTCGCTACTCTGGTCAGAAGCCAAAGAATGCTGTGGTTAGGGGATTTATCTATTTACTCTCCCCTTCATGTCGGCACAAACTATTTACCATCTCTTAACATGATGATCATGCATAAGAAAATTCAAACAGAGAATTAACGAGAATGAGCAGGGTCACCTAGTTGGGGGACACTGAAGTCTGTCTTTAATCCGAGCTAGTTAACGAACTGAACCTTTGTGAAGTTACCATATCTTATGTCAGACTTGGCTTCACATCACCACGTCCTAGATTCTCCTAATAAATTTGTTATTATTTCATCTATCATCCTAGCAGGTGTCAAACAAATTCTACTTTACATTCACTGTACGTCCTGAGGCCTTGAATGATGGATTGAGGATTCGGAAAGTTGTCCCATCCACGGAAGAAGAGGCGCGGCGTGTCCTTGAGCGTATGGATGCTGAGAGCTGTCATACTTCATCCTGAATGCACTTCTCCGGTGAATGAAGCAAACGTCTACGATTACTCGCAGGTTAATTGATGGGGGACTGAAATTGATACTCAAAAAGCATAAAGTGGACAACAGTTCCAAGCAAAAGAGGAACTAGGGGACATCAGTCTACTTAGGAACTTAACAGATGCCTATCCCACCAAACATGTATTGGCATTGCAAAGTTCAGTTCTTTGCTACTTCTGAGAAAGTCTCACTGCACGAATGAGATGAACCACTGGTTAGAAGATGCCAAGTAAAATGATGTTGAGAAATCAGAGCCCCTGCCCATTCACGAGGACAAGGGACTAAACATGTCGTTGATTCTAATTGATGGATAGTGACACGAAAGTTGTGAACTTCCACATCTGCTGGTAATAACCTTGTACTATGTTCAGCGTCGATGTGTGAGCGTTCTTTGCTTTGTCCTAATGCTAGGTCAAGCGCCTTCACACTTGCTATTGTGTCGAGAGCTAAGAGAGTTCTTATGATAAGGATTCTTCATGGTGGAATTCTGTTGAGAAATTTGCTTGAAAAACATGCTTGGAAGCAATTGGTAAGCCGACATCCTTCATAAGATAATCCATCCGCGTTTTGGATTTAAACTGGTGCGATAATCTGGGGTCGGAAATTGGGAGATCATTGCTACCAGATCTAGTCACTTCTCTATTAGCCATCTTATTAAAGACAATTCTCTGTACCATTTCAATTTATCAGATATCATCCAAGGGCGAGACAATGGAAGTGGGACTGCTTCTGCTTACCATATTATTATCTCTGAATGATTGAAAATGGAAGAAGGTTAGAACAGAACATTCTTGCAAGTATTTGCAAGATTATTTTGTTGAACACCAGCTCACCCGCCCTTCATTTTTATTTCTCCCAGACGAAGTTTCCAATAATAATTTTCTGATCTGCTCAATCTTACCAATTTCCTCTTAAAATTTATTTAGTTACCTCTAACAATCAAATCCAAACCAAACTATGATTTTGGGATCTATACCAATGAGAGACCTTGCGCAAAGGCCATGAAAGGAACTAAAAAAGAGTTACGGTGTGCAAAGTCTCAAGATTATCGGAACTTCGCATAGTTGGTCATCTAGCTGATTCTGCCGGGACAGTTACTGTTGAGAGTTCCATAAACATCTAGCAATACACATACTTTTGCTCGGTTTAATTGGCATTCATGAGAACATTTACATCTGTAATAAAAAGATGCTTAACCCAGACTATATGAACTTTTCATGCTTTATTTAGCACTAAATGACCACTCATCACACCATGGTTCCAACAGTACAGGGTCACAGACACGGGATAATGACGATAAACTCACTGCAAGCTAATTTGTACGCCCAACACTATATGTAGAATAAAGTACACTTAACCCCAAATGTAGAAAAAATACTAACTCAAGCCCAGTACTACCGATGACCAAAAAAAAAAACAGTCCAGTACTACCGACCAAAAAAAAAAGGTCCAGCACAAATGTCTCAACAAAACTGTTTATGACTGTTGTACTTCAGATATCTGCACCATAACGCAACAATAGATTCATACATTGTGTTATCGAGTAAGGAGAGGATCTTTATTGATGCCAATGCTCATGTCATTAAATGGCACGGATCTGTAAAAGTCTTATCGATTTGTTATAGAGATGAAAGATGGGGCTATCAGTAACTGCTACACAGTGAAATCTCACTGGAATAAATTGAACAGCCGCATCCAGAATAGTTAACCTAAACAAAATACACGTCCACGGCCTCAGGTATGCTTACACGTCCCTCAGCAACTAGAACAAGGATTTTGTACTCAACCTGTCTAAGAAAATTCTACATGAGCAAGGCAAATGTTTTTAGCAGTAGAGAATGTGAGGGAGATCTATTTCCTGTTCCACCTCGTTCTTCAGAAAGAGCCGTGGAATCACAGAGATTCATTGTGAGAGGCGACTAAGACCGTCCATTAAAGCATCTGTGTGCTCAGGCATCCCAACCGATACACGGACATAGCCCTTCAACTCTTTGTTGTTGTAGTGACGGATCATGACACCCATTTTGGCAAGGTCCTCCTGCATCATTTTGTAGAAGCATTACTTTGCGGAAAATAAAGGAAGAGAAAAAAAATTCCAAGGATTCAAGGAATTCAGTGAACATGTCATCAAAAGAAATCATGTATTCCTTGCAACACGTAAATCTTAATGGCCATAATACCATATGACAGGATAATAGAGGAACTCAACAAAGATAACATCAAAGAAGAATCTTTGAATGTCCTTTTTACGGGTGAATCCTTGAATGTCTGTATAAAATTCTCAATGCATATGATGTGTAAACAAATCTTGACAACAACAAAGAGTAAGTGAGTCCTAACATACCTTCAGCTTTTTAGCATCCATTCCAGATGTGACCTCGCAAAGAATGAAATTAGAATGGCTAGGATATGGATTGAGAAATGGAACTCCCATCAGCAGTTTAAAAAGTCTCTCTCTTTCTCGTACCAGAGCGTCTCTAACATCCTGGTAATAATCAACAAACAGTTCAAAGATTGGGCTTCGAGAATTAAGAACATTAATGCTTTGCTTTCGGATTACTAAAGGTGGAATTCTGTGGAGAATGTCATCGATAGTTAACTAAGAATTACCTCCAGATAAGTTGGATTCTGCAATGCTGCACATGCAGCAACTTCAGCAGCAACAGATACATTATAAGGTTGCTTCGCTCTCCACAAATACTCAATAAGGCTCAAAGGAAATGCTCCGTAACCCACTCTAAGTCCAGCTAAACCTACATTGGCATAAATTTGCCGACATCCATGAATTTAAAGGTTCCTCAAAGAAATTGAAATAGAACCAGCATAATCTGTCAATCTCCAGACACTGCGAGACTGTATACTTACCAGCTCTTTTGCTAAATGTCCGGAGAACAATCAAGTTCTCATACTTCTTCACCCATTTCATCCGAGACTCAATCCCCGAAAACTCAATGTATGCTTCATCCAACACAACCAGCACTGGGAGTTTCAGGATTTGAATGAGATCTTCATCACCAATAATACTGCAGTATTAGTGCACTGAGTCAAGTATTGGCAGATAGCTCTGTCATTACAGTACCAACAACTACTATTACACTACCAGATTAGCAGATCCAGATTACATTAAATAAAGAAAGTCACAACTATAAAAGTGTTTATCATCTTTATAGTGTGAATTGCACAAAAGCACAACGCAAGATGCTATGGAGATTAACAAAAGTGACCTTTATTTTGAGTTTTAAGGTGATAATAAGTAGAAAAACCAACAATCGACTCACTCATATAGACGTTGAATTCAGATATCTTAACGATTCAAAGTCAAGTGTAATACAGAACATAAAAAAAATATTTAAAGCAAGAGTACTCAGAATTGAGAGATACCTCCCATCTGGATTATTAGGAGAAGTTAAAAATATGCATTTAGGGTTCTCCTTTTCGACAGCATCAGCAATGAGTTCCACATTTAAGCTGAAGTCTGACTTCCTAGGAACTGGAGAAGAAGATTGAAAAGAAAAATGATGAGCTCAAAGTTGCAGTATGTTTCTGTTGTTAAGTTGAATAATACATAACTAAACAAAAGATAAAAGCAGAGTCAATATCAAATACACCTATTAAGATGTCACTCAGAACAGAAAAAGAACTCATCTGCAATTGATTACCTTTGACAACATGTGCCCCATTAACTGCAGCATCAAACTCATACATTGTAAATGTTGGAGGACAGTCTACAATCTTATCACCAGGATCCAGAACACATCTGCATGACATATTTACAAGTTGATGAGGACATGGGCAATACTAATGGCAAGACAACTTTAAGGGCCAAAAGCAATGCTTTGTCTAACCGCATTATTAAATCAATAAGTTCATCTGCTCCACATCCTGCAAGAATGTAATCAGCTTCAAGTCCAGAATCCACAGCAAGAGCAGCACGAAGCCGACGGCTCTCAGGATCAGGGTATATATATGGGAATTTCATTGACCCTAGAGCTTCAAAAACCTGCAAATTTGGATATTTTAACAGACAAGACAAAAAAAAATTTAATAACTGATGGCCTATTCAAACGAGTCAAGCTTTACTACTACTACCACTACTACTACTACTCCTACTACTACTACTATTACTATTGTTTTTGTTGTTGTTGTTTTGGATAAGTAATTGACCAAAGCTATAACAAAGAACAAGATTCACTTATTCGTAATTATCAAGAAAAAGGAACAGTATTAAGTTATTTTGCACAGTCAATCATTTACATAACTTACCTCTGGAGGAGGGCCATATGGGTTTTCATTTGCATCTAATTTGATAATGTCCTCTGGTTTTCTTCCAAGACGAGTAGACAAAACCTGTCGTAGATATACAATGGCAACATCAAAATAGAACTCATGTCAATGTCCAGTTTGTGTATTAACAATTGCAAATGAAGTGTCATGCTTCATATTTCAATGAAAATAGGAGAACCAAATGACCCCGTAGCATAAACAGAACGATGCCCCGTGGAGCAGGAGTTTGAAGGCGTATCATGGTTGGGAGGACTTCCACGATCAGTTGACATTCATTCAGACAGGAAAATGGGAAGAGAATTACTTTTGGCTCGATTCTTGGTGCATAAACGAGACCCTAAAGAATCAATTCCCTAACTTAGTCTATATTGCTACGAGGAACCAAGAGGCTGCAATAGCAGATTGTAATAACGATTGAAGTTTCTCGGGCAAGCCCAAGATTGGGAACTAGAAAGCCTCGGCGCCTAGATAAATCAGTGCTAACATTTGCGCATAAACGCAACTTGGGTAACTTACAAGAAACTCCAAAATTATAACGCAGAAACACTCCCCCGCCTTAAGCATCAACAGTGACATTTAAAGCATAATAGCCACAATGTATCAAGCACAGAGAGCATCAAGAAAAGCTCACACCTTTAGCAAAAGTAACACTAGTAATCAAAAGGATCAGCTTCAGCACTAACCTCAAAAGGCAAAATGGGCTGGTAAGGAGACAGTTTCCTCAGATGAGGCCGAATGAACGAGGCACCCGTCAATTGCTGGTTGGCCTCGCTCAAGTGCTGGACGTCCACGGCGGAGGCCATGGCGACGACCCTCCTCTGAATTCTCTCGAACGGGCAAATGGGTCGCCGGGCGCCGTTCAATTTAGCGGAGCAAAGAGCGGAGAAGCCGCTTATTTCGGTCACACCCATCAAAAAACCAACCTGCACCGCATCCAAATGCAACGATCGAGGCGTGAATAATTCGCGAAAGCGGGCAAGAAAGAGAGAGTCTTCGTGCGCGCCGGCGCACTTACGGGGCAAGAAGTCTGGTTATCCTGTCCGAGCAGGACGCGGCAAATGCAAACCCTAGGACAACCGCGAGTGCAATAGCGCCGCTCAGGTGTATGTAAAAATGTCCGAGAGAGAGAGAGAGGGGGGGAATTGGTCGTTCCCGGACCAAAGTATGCCGGACAGCGATATAGGATTTTAAAAAAAACGAAAGAGAAGACAGAGCTGAGGTTGTGGAGGCTGATTAGCGACACATGTGTTTTAGGTATCGAATCTTTTGATATTTTTGTCCACGTTTTGATGGACTTTTTTATTTTATATTCTCTATAGCTCGGGCATATCTATCTCGCTGTAATTAAAATTGATTCTAAGTCATACCTGCCATGGAAAATAAAATAAAAAAAAGGGTACGAAGCAGGGCCGTTGTTGCAAAAAAAAAGGGTCTAGGATGAACATTAACTCGAATAAAATGCCAAAATGACCGACTTCGCGTAAATTAAGGATCCGAGCTTGCATCGGCCTCTCACATGTCGCTTTTCAGGGAAATTTTTTATTCTTTTTTTCTGTTCATCTTTTTCTTTTTTTCGTTTTCTTTTTCCTTCTGCACCTGTGTCAGCTGTTCGATCTCGCTCGACATCATGAAGTTGCCGGAGAGAAGATGCAGTGCAAGGGCCTTCGCGAGATATTTGCTGAGCGATGAGAGTTGAAAGAGAGGAGGAGGAATTCAAAATGGTCTTCCCTTTCTTGGTCGATATTATAGACAAAAGAAGTTCCAATCTTTGACTCGGGAGAAAGAGAAAATGTCTGTTTTTTGACTTTGAGACTGCACGTTTGTGGGGAGGAGTAGGGCTTTGATCGAATAACATTTTCCGCTTTTGCGGCATGACATGAGATTTTCAGATACCCAAACCATTCAGTATGTTTGCGAGTCAAAGTGTTGATTCGATCCTTTTCAGAAGACTGACATTTTGAGCAAAAGGACAGATCTAAAGCTGGTATGGAGGCTCGCCAACGACTTCATGACATCTAGCAAGTCGAGCTGTCGGAAGAGGCTCGGCATCGATGCAGGATGAAAAAAACAAGAAAGAAGAATGAACGGAGAAAAGAAGGAAGAGAAAGAGAAGAAAATGGGTAGGTGAAAATGTAACGACTTGGTTCGACGAGAACAGAGGATGGTCGCCGGGGCAAGAGAACCTAAACAAGAAACCACTCCTAACAGATTTTTAGGATAGAGAAGGGGGCACGAATGTACTGAACTATGCACCGAACATGAGAAGAGCAATTCTGAGAGGCGCTTTTTGACATAACGGCAATACTTAACTTTGGAACTCCAAAATTAAGCGCGCTCAGGTGGGAACGCACTCTAAAGATGAGTGACCACCTGAGAAAGTGGTTGCTTATATGCCAAAAGACAAAACTGTGAGCCTCGATATGAGATAGGCTAAAGCAAATAATACCTTCTTGAATTTAATTAACAGATGCCACAGAAAAATGCCCATGATCATTGCATGCGAGAAGCACATATGAACTCAATTCCATATTTGAGAAAATGGCCTCACTTCATGTCCATACTTGAAATTTTCTCTAATTGCCGTGTAAAATGTCACGATGCCCAAGTGATCGGGAGCCACAAAAGAAACCTTGATTACCATGACTTACGATGAGAGAATCGTCTCCCAAGAATCCATAATCTAATCATCGGTAGCGATCAAAAGTATATTTATTGATAAGCACACCAAAACTGCTTGTCACATATGAATTTTTTTCACGAAACAAAGAGAACCTAATAGTTAAGAGTGACCACCGGTTCCAGTTCCATTTGGTAACCAAATTAAATCGATATTGTACCGACTGGTTCAAGGCCAATCCTAGAGAGAACCGATTCGATTCCCGGTTCCGAGGCTCGGAACTGCCTGTTTGATCTAAAAACCTGACCGGTTTCCGATTTTAGGTCGGAACCGATCCACCGGGAAACCGACCGTACGCTTGGGCATCCACAATATACTTTCTTCCTGGGCTCAAAAGCCTTTTTCTAAGAGAGGCCCCTTAAAGCCTTTTGTATCTCGCGGGTTGCGATTGCTCTTCAGGTCTCTCTCTCTCGATCCAGCAGCGTCCAAATCAAAATCGACTCGGTCCTTGGAATCCCCGTTCTAATGAAGACCTAGAAAATCCTGACCCCTTCACATCCACACAAGCTTCGCGTTTGCCTGGAAATCGAGCTCTCTCCGAACCAGACCCTGCCTCGATTTCGTCCGGAGATGGGGAAGAACCAGGCGTACAAGGCCATGCAGAGAGCCAGGGTGGGCTCGAGCTCAGCTGCTCCTGAACTGATTGAGGATGGCATGGTTCGTACCCTTCCATACTATTCATTGCTCCCCTCTTCTTCAATTCGAAATCCCTTTTCTCGTGCTGGTCTACTTCGTCTTAATTTGTATAAAAGTTCGTCCTTTGGTTGACTTGGTTGGTTCTGCTGGATTGGGGGGTGGCGTTTTGTTGTGCATGCCCAGGGAAGTTTGTTGAATGATTGGCTTGCGGTCTTTTCCTTCAACTTGTGGGGCGGTCGATGTGGTTGCTATCTTGAAATGGCGACTTAATTAATCGGGGGAAGTTTCTTGGTCGTTTACTTTAGCAGCTGAGGATTTCCGAGTTCTCGTTTTTGGGTTTCTTGATGGGTGAACTGGGTTAGTGTCACCCTGGGACTCTTCAAATGTAATTGTTTGTTTGAAAATCTGCAGTCATTGGTGCCTCTTTGCACTTAATCTTTTCAAAATTGATCTCGATCATACACCCCCTTCCCAGAAATGTTACATCTGGCGTATTTCGTTTATAGACTGATTCAGTTTAATGTTTTCATATGATGGGCATTGTTTTTTAGTGGGTATGATCAGTATGCGATAGCATAGGTTAAAATTTCATTCTTAGCATTACTTATAAAACTATGGGGACTTCTGAAATTGTTGTTTCCATGGTTCTTTTTTGTCCAGAAGTGCGGCATCATATTTATTAGAGGAATAGAATGACAGTGAAATTAGTTATGCGAGAGTAATTCAGGAATTGGGTAAGCAGAGCATATCTCCCTGTCTTCAGAGCCCTGAGGAGCAGAACTATCTGGTGAATGCAAGAGATACTCACTTCCTTGGGCATCATATATGCACTAGAACTAAATATCGGTCATTTATGTTTTTGTATTGCCAAATACAGATTGTCTTGGCCTGTGTGGTAATCTTCTCTTAAGCCTTGGTCATTCTTATTAGAATCCTGAGGATGGTGTTGTAACCATGGTCAAGGGTTAAATTAATTTTCTTTTACCAAGCAACATCTATTGTGCCTTTGATGCATCCACTTGTCTTATTTGGTACTTTATGCTCTGGAAAATATAGCGGTGGTTTATAATCATAAGCCGAAGATTTCTCATCGGTTGAATAATTATGACTGCAAGATTTGGCTTCTTTGTCAGTGCTTTTTGTTTTCTTTTTTCTTGGAAGACTATGCTTCCTGGACAGTCATTGATGAGGACAGTCGCAGGTGGATGGTTCTTTTCATTCACCAGAGTGGCATGCTGCTCGTTTGGCAAGCCTTAATACCTCTCATACAATCACCTGGGAAGAATTCAAACAGAAGCAGAAGGTAATTTGTTGAAACTAATTATTCCTCCGGAACTAAATCCTTATTCTCGTTTGTCAATATTGGCTTATTCTTGCTATTTTATCACACTGAATTATCTCTTTTTTCCTTTTTGCATGCATGAATAGAATGGCAAGTTTTTTTGGTGATGGATACCTGTATTGGAGATACTCTCAAGAATATAACCAATAGCTGGTGAATGATCGTTTAATCTTGTCCAAGAACTTATAAAAAGACTAAATATATAGACAGAACTCTTTCTGGTATTACCAAGATATCTTGCTCCTTTTCATTTCTTTTCCCATATTCTTGTATTTTCCCTGTAATATGGAGGCATCACGTGCTGCCTATTTTCTTGACGGCGTTTTGAACAAATCTGTTTCAGTTTCGTTAGTCCATAGTCTGATTATTTAGAGAATATTTATATTGGTTAAATGATAGTCATGTAATCGAAAATTATCAACACCTCCTCTTTGCTTAGTAGAACTTTATTCAGCTATCTACAGTCTTTTGTTAATTGAAATTTCCTAGGTAGGATTCTCATGAATGAAGGATTTTACGCATAAAAAGTGACATAGTCATGACTGTGACTGTTTACTCTATCACATGCAGTTGAAGTTTCTGTTCAAGAAAGTTGTTTCTTTTGCATGGCAATCTTTGCATTACATTAACCAATACAAGTTATTTGTGTTGGCTTCTTCTTGGTTTCCAAATTTCTTTAACGGTCCTTTTCTTGCACGTTCAACTTTCTTTTGCCGTGTTCCTTGTGCTGGTTCTTTCGTGTCATTTTGCATTTGGATTGTTACTGGTGATTGACTGACCTTGTGGTGTCATGCAAACCGACTGTCTGGTGGGTCAAATTTTAGTGTGTTTTGCACCAGTTCCCTCTAGCTTGGTGTAAGCAATTCCAGCATCAGCTGAATAAACTTTGTGCCATTTCATTGAGTTCAAATATGAATCAGGCTGATGGCTTGAATTTTAGCTTCAAAGTAGTTGCTTGGGAGAAATTTAAATGCCAATATGATGAAAATGGACTGAAAGTTTGATTTCCTTTGGGATCAAAATAGTTGTTTATAAAGCAATCACATGGTCGCATTATTGTATCTTTGATTTTGGCTGCATCGAACATCTGGTATTAGGCCTTATATTCCATACCAGTTCCATGCACACAAATTTCTTATCTACTATTAGCTCTGAATTATGACGTGGGCATCTAAAGGCCCTCACCTTTTTAAGTGCACGGTCTCCTTAGTACACCATATGCGTAAGTTCTTATGTGGAGTAACTCTCATAGTCACTAAGATAGGGTAACAAACTGTTAAGACTAATTGTTTAAACTAATAAAGAGTGTTATCCTAATGGGACCTTGTTCTTGAGTTTTAAATTTGGAGCAGACATGCATTGTGTTATTTTGATCCGGGCAAGCTGTGTGCTTAAACCTGTACTTGGACTCTTAATTCATACATTGGTGTACTTGATCAAATCTTGGGTCTAAATCTCTTTGTTTGGGTGAACTCTGCAAAATTCAAATGCTCGAATTAAATTTGTCACTAATTATATATTTTACTAGGAAGAAGAGATCAAGAAGGGGGAAATGGAAAAGGACAAAGATAAGATGATGAGAGAGTACAGAGCGCAGCTAGACGCTGAAAGGGCACACAAGCTTGCGCATGGAAGAAACCACTCTAGTAGTAAATCTAAGCGGAAAAAGGGTATGTAACAACCATTGGGGCCTTGCAAGTTCTATGCACTTTTTAGTTCCTATATCAAATCGGAAATGTCTTTGCAGATCGCAAGGAGAAAGATGAAAGGAAACGCAGTGGCAAGAGAAAGGTGCCTACGTTTTTCTTAATGTAGTTAATACTTGTTCTGTTTCTTGTGCACGTGAATGCTCTTTACACTCTCTGAGTGGAATTGGTCCTTTCTCGTAAAGTTCACCTCTCATTTTTTGTAGTCCACCATGTAAAAGATCAATAAAAGCTCATGAAATGCTCTGCTTTTAGGCTCTTTCTTTTTTGTGGAAGACGTATTTTTTTACAATGCACTTATGCATGAGTCTAGATTGTATCCATGATTGGATGCTATAGTGTTTAAGACTTTATGTTTGTCTAGAAAAATCCTGGGAAGTGCCTTGGTTTTTTTAAATGGGATGTCTAGATGTGCTTACTATTGCTGTCAATAGCTATGCTAACTATTGCTTAGGTCTTGGATGGGAATTTGTTCTTTCTAATATAAGATGGAGACCTAACGCTTGAGAAGTGAGTTATTTTGTTTCTCTCTCTCTCTCTCTCTCTCGAGCGTGCACACGCAAGCATGCACACACAAAAAGAATTGCTCATTCTTCTTTCTTATTCTCCTTCTCAAGCGGTTTTTCCACTATTGGAACAGAGGCCATTTCTTTTACTTGGCTGAGTTCTGACGTCTGTGGACCTAGCTTGGCTCCCATTTCTGATTCATGTTAAAGTGCGTTGCTAACATATAAGGAGTGATGAAACATCAGAAAGTACAATGTAAAGGATTCACCTTGTGACGACTGAATTTGTTCAACGGTATGTTTGGACCCTTCAAAATCAAAAGCCAGCCCTTTCCCCTTTCTAGAGAAAGCAAGGATTCTTCTTCTTACCTCGGATGATGGAGGAAGAACGACTGGTTCTTTCTTCTTCCCACATTTCCAGGTTTCGTTTGCTTTCGGGAGTGAGTTTCCTTTGTCAAACTGAAGTTGAGAACTAGGTCACCTTCAGGGGAAGATGTATATCTAGTTCCGCGTACCTAATTTTTTCCAAGATCCTGAATTCTATTGTTGATTCTTTTGCAGAGGTCAAGGAAGAGATCTTCAGATTCTAGCTCCTCGGGCTCTTCTGATTATTCAAGTGATGAAGAAGAAGAGAGGGAATCCAAAAGATCGAGGTCCAGGTCTAAAAGAAATAAAAAGGAGAAGAAGCACCGGTCTAGCTCCACAAGCTCATCTTCTGATTATTCAAGTGATGAAGAAGAAGAGAGGGAATCTAAAAGATCGAGGTCCAGGTCAAAAAGAAATAGAAAGGAGAAGAAGCACCGGTCAAGAAAACGGAGTGGCAGCGACGATGAAGAAACCGGTCCTGTGCCACTCTCCAGATTTTTCGATAATGTGAAGAGTTAGCAGTTTTACTGCGTGGCCTGCATGCTTTGTACTTGTAAAGATTATCCTCCTAAAACAGGAGAGGAGTTGATGACTCGATTGTTTTCACTTTTATATTTGTTAATCCTGATTTTATCAGCCATCGATATCCCATTTGCGCCTCAAGTTCTACTTCGAGCCTTTCTTTAATGTGATGTAAGAATGGTTGTAGCTTTTATATTTGAGTTAGAATAACATGGCTGCAGAGCTTTGCAGAGCTAAATGAGCAGTGCTTGTATGAATTGTGAACAGCTTTTTAATGCGTGTGGATTTGTACATGTGAGAGCTAGTGTATAAGTTTAGTCTCTCTGTTGAATTGCTTGCACAGAACTGCATTTTCAGTGACTTCTAACAAAACGAAGAACCTGATGGATCGTACCGATTGTTGGCTGCAACAAGATAGTCCAACCTTGCGCTGCGGACTCTCTTTTGATAGTCTCGACACAGCAAAGAACCCTTTTCCAAGTTTTGTTGACGTATCTGTATTATTGTTCTGCTCCTCTCCTCCCTTCTAGTTAAAGAAAGGCTGTGATGCGTGCCTTATGCACCGGTCATCTTAAAACGAGATTTTATCAGGCTCAGTTGCATCAGATATTCCAAAGGACTTTATCAGGAATGTCCTCCATAGTCCATATACCCTATTTGGTTTGTACCAAAAGATAACAAAGGAACGCATGGCATGCACTATCCACAGAACCATAATACAGCAGAATTGTGTTTCGAAACCACATGTCAAAAGTAGAAGAGCAACCTTAAAAGTTGCTGTTACAATCGTTCCACGCCACATTAACTGTCCTGTCAACACCACAGAATGGAATTCGAATCATCAACCGTGTCCCCAACGAAGGAAATGTCGGAGAGTGGAGCTTCTAAGAATATTCAGACCTCATTCTACCCTTTGAATGCAAAATGAAAGACGGTGATGGCTAAAAAAAATTCAAGAGATGATTAGTGTCAGTAATATCAAACATCATCATTAGGCCTTGTGCTGATATCCCCTATTACTCTGATGATTATTCCACGTATAATAGGCTTTTATAACCCAATCATATCCTGGCGGTGCCATCAATACAGAGAGAGAGAGAGAGAGAGAGAGAGAGAGAGAGAGAGAGAGAGGGATGCAAGGATACTCAGCAGATGTTGGCTCAATTAACAGGTGGAGCAATGAAGAAAAACAGTTAATACAGGCAGTCTTTGAAAGTTCTTATGGTTGTCGAAGTCATGAAAAGAATTCAATAGTAGAGCCATCCAACAATAAGATAGAAAATATGTACACGAAGAAATAAATCATTGCCACGTAAAAACACGGGCATCACACTCGAGAAAAGCCACCACATACTAACAGCATGACTTCCATTACTGTAGATACTCGGGATTAAAAGCGAGCGCTTCCCTATAAATTAACTCCCTCATCTGTTCCTCCGTGAGTGCATGCTGCTCAAAGTCGAAGTTGAATGGATTCGTGCACGTCGGCTCATCACTGATGTCATGCAGCGAGTTTAGGTAGGGATGAGCCAATGCTTCTTCAACTGTACCAAAGAAACTAAGTGTTAAGAGATTCATAAATCTCATTGAAACAGGAATGTCTACTGTCACGAGACAAGCACAAACAACTAAGCAAATTTATGGTAAGACATAGGAAGGAAATTTACGAGATCCCTTTGTCCTATCACCTGAAGCAATCTATAATCTACAATGGCCCTGTTTAAAAAAGCAGCCAAAAATCACATTACCTTGGCTAATGACAAAAGCATTCATGCCATAATCAGTGAATGAGCCAAACATATATGCAGGACTATTACCTAATCGGGCCTAATTACATTCATGAGATACCTGTTTCGGCTTCGTGAAACTCACTCATGCATAATTTTCTATGCTCTCAGAAAGGCTGTGAATCATGACTCACACTTAAAGGCATATATAAATGCTCATCGCATCTCCCACGTGTTAGGACAAACCAAGTGGCTTTTTAATTTGAGCATACAACCAGGCCAATCACCAAATACCAAGCACTTTATTTGCAGACATACTTGGGGAAACTCGTACCAATAATCACTGTATGAACAAAAGTCCAAACATCAGGTAACTTCTCTTTTTTTCTTTTTCGGTGGTTCAAGCATGGTCTTCTGATCAGAAAAGAACCTCCAACACAGCTCGATGGTGGTATTAACCAAGTTCAAAAGCTTGCCTCATAGCAGAACAATGTACAGCAGATGGTCCACAAAATTGGCTTCTCCTTTACTGAGGAAACATACATCAACCATGACAAAACCTTGCAAGAAACTCTTTTTATACCCCACTGACTAAAGTAGAGCTTAACTTTCGAACTCCAATCTCCATCCAAGGTAGGAAAGGGACAAAAGGAAAACGAAAAAATGGATCACCGACGTAGTTTCAGCATGAGCTGCCTTCAGCTCAGTCTCTAAATCAATACAGAATCTTCCGGACTCAACAAATTTCCCAGTATAGGACGACAGACCTTATAAATTTATGATAATAGGATCTAAGTCATCATCATATTCCTTCTATCTTTTTTGATAAATAGAGCTTGCTGTCGGAAGGAGTACAATCCAAGCTCACAGGAAGTGTACCGAAGGACTCAGAAAAAGAAAACAAACTTTGTGGGATTCAGACATTAAGCTTCAAAAAAGCTAAACCAAGAAAACTTAAATGAAAGTTCAGTCCTTAACAGGTCTATGAAATGTAGCTCAATCAGTGATTCTCATTCCTTCTACCGCACACATGTTCCACATGATGTATTAATTGCAGAACTTTTCCAAACAATCTCTTCCAGCCAGTCAATGAGTTCTTGCCTTTCACTGCCAGTCCAAAACAGACACAGACCAGCTCTAGAGGCATTACGAGATTCATTATCTGTTCACTAGAGATTTCGGCCATGTATGTCTGCAAATGGTGGCTAGCATTTTATGCTTTTGATGAGACTAAGATGGGTGAAGGTGGCACATTCATGGAGACAGACTCCTGGCTCCCGCAGTTCTGACGTCACTGTCTTAAGATGGATCAAGCTTGTACCAATAATCTAGAGAAGCATAGGAAGTTAAAGCAATTAAAATTCAAATTTCTACTTTGAATTTTTTGTGGCAGCACAAATTGTGCTTTATTTTGGAAAGATCAAGTGAATACTATGCTTCCGCGCTCCTATTTCAAAATGAAAGCGGATGACTAAAGTTGTGTATTGAATGCAGTATTTCTCTACCTCTTCTAGCGGATTATGCACATATTATGTGCGACATGACATTCACTCAGGCATACGAATTAACTTATGCATTCTGTAGTGTTTTATTCGGTAGTGACTATCACCAAATGACTAGTTTAAGTTTCATTATAAGGCCCCATTTGCCATCTGTATACTAGTCATCCAAATCATGTGTCATTACATTGGCTCCTAGCAGCCGGATATGTATCTGTCATGTCAAACAAGTTAGGGTATAAATACCAATTCTTTGCAGAGACTAGATTAAGGGGATGTACATGAAAATTTATATAGCATGAAATTCACTACAGTGATGTCTACATTTATGTTATTTTGGCATGTCCAACCTCAATTGAGATTGTAGATTACTTACTAAGTTGATAGACTGCTTACACTGCTGTGACACTGACGCATTCACGGTATTTCGAACTTTGAGTGCAATCCATATCAACAAGATTGGTATCAGACTGTACAATAGAAGCTTGATGTTCTATATTCACCTTTTTTTTTTTTGGGGAAAAACTTTGGTGTTGCTCTACCTTTTTTTTTTTTTTTTTTCTTTAATCATTGTCAAGTTCTACGAAAATTGATCTTCAAATGTAAGAGGACAAAAGTGTTAACATTTTTTGTGGGGTTAATTTTGAACTAAGAATTATGGCTCTTTGCAATTCACGTCCCTGATCCTGGTCCTAGGTTCCATGTCTGACATATAGCCCTTAACATTCTGCACTTTTGGCAGAATAGAAAATATAAACAGTACTGATTGTTTATCGGGTTTCATGTGTTCAAAATAGGAGTATGAGCACAGCCACAAGTCACCTCTCCAATCATACCCCGGGACTTGGCAAAGGCCAACTCCATGGATTCTTGTACATGACCCCATTAGACTGTAAAAGCTGCAGTTTCCATATTTAGATGACAATTAAATATGAATGCAGATGTGGTTGTCTCACTTTACGTCTTTTTTGGATGAAAATCTCTCTCAAGCATTCAACTAGTTAGAAGATAAATGAAATAAAGTAGCCTGCTTGAACCTCCATTCCGAACCCCGTTTCTCTACTCATCATTTATTGTTCATTGCCTGAGTTCAGGAACTAAATAGGGACAGTCTGGTTCGGCAACTTGGCAAATCACACACCAAGCACAAGGGGCAGAAGCATTGACATCCTTCAGAAGTTTACTTCTTCTGAAATGATAGGACCCCTAAGTAATTGTCACTGAGAAAAACAGATAAACATAAGTAAAATAACTTCATAGCACCCTACAAAAGATGAAAAGTTATAGGTAATAACTTATGACTCATCTTTTAGCCAATGAAGAGTTTCTCAACTATAATCAGATCATCATCACATGCTCACATAACAGGCCACTAATTTTTGCATATATCCTAGCACCCTTAGCATAACCTGATCCACTGAGATAGACAGAAGATTATTACAGCCTAAAAGTATTACCAACTTCACAACCAATAAATACCATTTTAGAATATACACAGAAAAAGAAGCAAGCAGATGCAGGTATGGAAGAACATACACAGTCCAAACAAGGAATTGAGTAAATCCCTAGTGCAAATATCCACATCTTCAATATCAATGACAGTTACATCAGCAAGCGACCCAGTTAGTTTACACGAGACTCATGGTAGATTAGGAAAGCAATTAAAGTCCATGCAGAAATGGCTTACAGGAAAGTATCAGAGAACATATTCGCACCTGTGATCCTCAGCCTGGGATCGAACGTTAGCATCTTCTCAACGAGATCAATTGCAAGCGGGTGGACATGAGGAAACTTTTCAGTGAAGGATTGCCGACGGTACAGAGGAAGCTGTCTGATATACCTCTTAGCATTTTCATTTAAGAACCCCAACTCTGCCTCTGATGGGGTGCCAATCAGCTGCAAGGTCACACAATCATAACTACTAGATGTCACAGCATAACCTCTACAGAGCTCAATCAAATCCATCTCCACTGAAGACACATTAATAGTAAATGGTGCAACAAGAAAGAGTGTAAATTAGAGAATGCCTATCTAGAACCATCTTAGGTGGCAGTATTTTTGGTTTAGATTAGCAAATACAAGAAGAAAAAGAGCTCCTAAGGGCGAAATTTGTGAGGAAAAAAAATGCAAGAAAGTGACATGGAAAGAAAGTCTCCAAAGAGAACTGCTCAACAACTGACCAACTTCTTAAATGTTACCTCCATCAACAAACGTAGCTGTTGAACATGGTCTCTGCCAGGAAACAAGGGTTTCCGATCCATTAGTTCCATAAAAATACAGCCTACAGACCATACGTCTATTGCCGCCGTATAGTCCGAAGAATTTAACAATAGCTCTGGCGCACGGTACCATCTCGTGACAACATATTCTGTCATAAAATCAGTTTCAGAAGTGACACGAGCTAGTCCAAAATCACATATTTTCAAGTCACAATTTGCATTTAGGAGAAGATTGCTGGGCTTCAAGTCTCTATGCAGAACATTTGCAGAATGAATGTATTTTAACCCTCGCAAGATCTGATACAGAAAATACTGCAAAAGACACAAATGGATAGTCATCAACCACAACGCAAGTGATTTGAATATAAATTATATGAGCAGTATACAGCTAAATGATCAGCACCATACAGGCATTCAATTTCTAGTGTTTGTAGCAAAAAGGGAGTGTTTATGACAATAACCTTCATGCATCTCCTCTCCAAGCAAGAAATCAATGATACTGCCATCAATGCCATATAGACAAAATGGGAAAACCAGTCTCATATCATCATCAAGCTCCCATAAATAAGCAAACCTAGGAGATGGCACCATTCTTTTGCTATTCTTCATCACCGCAACAGTTCCAGATTATTTCTGGCCTAATGGATTCCGTAGAAGATCCTTAAATTTTATCTATAAATAATGATCTACATGTCCTCATTTGCGACTTAACTATCAAATAATCATTTTGATAAGAATAATAAAGTCTTGGTTCATATGCCTCCAAGAGAAGCCTCCAATTTATAGCCTGTAGATCTAATATCTTTTAATTGATGAAATTATATAATTGCCGTAGAAGGCCGCTTGCAATATTTTATCCCAGGATTGGCTGAATGAAATTCCGGCTGACATTACATATATGGAATGACTAATTCTAGTTCATATGTACTCCCAGCATCATTTAGTGCCCCCATTATTTCCTGTGTCAATGCAAGAAAAAAAAATTAATTGCAATAAACTTTAGAAAATTTGGCAGCTAAAGAATGTATGATATCTTTGCAATCTTGGCTTTTCATTAGAATACAGATTTTCTTTGAAAGTTCCCAATAACCTAATTTTTTTGGCTAATTCCCAATAGTCTAATTAAGAACCAGCATATAACAAGAAAGCAGTGGATGACAACTCCCACTAGCATAATTAAGAAACAGATACTGACAAGAAAGCAGTATCCCATCTAGAAGGAAGTGCCAGTATCGTACGATAAATGGCTAAATGAAACCTGACAATGCTCCTCAGACAGTGCTTGGTTGGAACGAATAATTTGATGCAGATCAGTGTCCATTAGCTCATATGCAATATAAACATCATTGAACACCTCTCTCTGTGGCGGCGGAATTATATCCCTGATTGCCACAACCTGCATTAACATAACAGAATCTCACATGAGCATATAAGAATTATAATAACCGAAAAGCAAGTTCTGTTAAAACAGCCATGCAATACCAGTTCTGTATTAATTAAAGGGCTTGCTTTGTATCCAGCATGATAGCCAAGCCCTAGATAAATATAGTCTCGATTAAAGACCGCATGCATGTGGAATCCCACCAATCATAGTTCAAAATTTGTTCTTTATACCAACAAGAACCACTTTCATACCATTACAAATTGCATCCAATCATGATAAATCCACCTATAACATCTCTAAGAATGATGAGTACCAGTACCCTTCTATATCAGTATATTAGAAATTAAACTTTTGAAATTTTTTGCCTCCAACATAAGAATAGTTGTCAATGATACCCAAATAATCATTCTATCATTTATTTCGATTGAAACAGGATCTTACTCCATTTTATGATATTTTTTGTTGCATTTCGTTCGAAACATATGCAGGAGGAAATGTGAATTATCTAGTAAAAGAAAATGGAGGAGGAAAAAGAGGTCTTTTTTTCTTGCATTTAGGAAGAAGAAAAAGAAAGGAGAGAGAGAGAGAGAGAGAGAGAGAGAGAGAGAGAGAGAGATTGGAGGAAAAATTCTGATCATATGTGTTAAAAAAAACAACATTACCCTTCTAGAAATGATTAAGAACTGTAAAACAAAGTCTAATGAGTAACTTTATCCACTTTCTTTGTGTTTTCCACGCACTTTTAGAGTTAAAGTTTCCCTCCACATTCATCCCAATTTTCGTCTACTTTCGATCCTCTCCATTTTCTTTCTTCTTTCAAATAAAGGAAAACAACTTCCCCTCTTTATCTTTTCTTTCCTCCCTTATTCCCTCTTGATAACATTGCCTATATCATAATCTACACAGAGAAAGAGAAATTAAATGACATACACATTTCCCATACTCACAATAAAAGTTGTAAGTGAATCATCTAAAATGTCAGTCTCATCAATCCTTCCAACTTTCGTGTAGAAGATTAATACAATGTTCAAGTCCAAATTAATAACCAGGTCATTGAAGATGTTTGTCTGGTTCCATAATTTCTTGCCATGTAAATGCATTTATGCTTTTCTTTTACTTCCTTTTCAATTTGCTTATACTTTCTGACAATGAAAAGCTATAATTCGACAAAAAGACACCAAATCAACATTTACTCAGCTCAAACTATACAGATTAAAAAAATTCAACAAAAAGCAATTTCCATTGAAACCACCACAAAACAAAACCATTGGCTTGAGGACTTCTTATTTTTCACCTAAAAAAGGTTTATGATGTGGGGGCAATTAGACGTAACAAACAAGACATTTGCCAGCCATACTCGATAGTCGAACGTGTTAAGTTTTGACTACTGAAACAGATAGCAAACATCTTTGCCACAAGATACTTTCAGAGATCTCCCCCCGTTTCCTATCAACAACACTTAAAGGCATATGAACTTAAAAGCTCAAAGAAGAGACGTTCAACTCTGTAAGTAGGCACAGCAGCAATAAGAACTTCTATATCAATATGAGTAATGGCAATACACTGACTGGTGTTTCAGTATGTTCTCCGGCTCATTAACAACTGGTGCAGAGAAGAAATGGTACCACAGAACAACATGGAGACTAGATTCTCTTAAGCAATTGATACCCCTTCTAGCGAAGTAGAAGATTCAAGCGTCATTTAGGTACTGTCCCTTGACAGCTCTACTAATTGCTGCACTATTTCTTGATTTGTTGTCAACAACAGGAAATGCTAATTCACCTGTATTGCACATTTGTTATATTTAGAACTGAGACAGAGAGCAATGTAAATGGACACAATATCAATGGCATCACTGGCCCAAAAGCCAACCATTAAAGCAACGACACTACAAACAACCCAGAAAGCCATTCTCAATCATGTAACGAACAAAAAATGCACGCGTGCGATTCACTACTGACGTTTTCGTGGTCCATGTGCCGGAGGAGCTTGATCTCGCGGAGAGTCCTCTTCGCGTCAATCTTGTTATCGAAAGCATTAGCGATCTTCTTTATGGCGACGTGCTCGCTCGTATCCGAATTCAAAGCCGAACTGAAACCGAGAGATGGGGAAAGAAACAAAAAAGAGCACACCCGAATCAAAACAAAATAATTACACGTCACCGATGATAAAACTAGCTAGCAGAAGCAGCTATTTCGAGCCGGATGCATCGGCAGCCAGCTCAACGAGCAGTCAATCGAAGAGAGAAGGGCCAGCGAAAACTAGTCGGGGCGGGACGGGAGGAGAAGCTCCACCTACCAGACGATGCCGTAGGCGCCCTTGCCGATGGGCATGATGGGGGGCCTGTACTTGGCGGTGACCTCGAAGATGTTGCCGAAGATGTTGTACTGGATGAAGCGGCCGCCGTGGCTGAGCGTGGCGGGGATGTTCTCGATCCCCTGCGGCTGCTGCTGCTGCTGCGGGGGAGGTGGCGCCGGCGCCGCCGCCTCCGACATGTCGGTATCCGCCGGCTGAGGAGCACCGCCGCCGTCCATGGGTGGGTGGGTGGTGGTGAGGGGGTTAGAGAGAGAAAGCCCTAAGATTTGGGGGTTGCGATTCCGTTACAGTGGAGGAGAGAGAGAGAGAGAGAGAGATGGCAGATTGATCTGGGGGAATTCGGTTAGTTGGGGGGGAGGAGAGAGAGAGCGAGTGATGGCTTCTTTTCGGGTTTATTCCACGGTCAACCGATCCGACTCAGTGACTCGCGGGCTGACTCGGTCTCGCGCTGTGCGACTGCTGCTGCTGCAAAAGAATTGCGAAAAGATTAAACGAGGGGGGGGAGAGGTGCTTTCGAGTGGTCGTTTTCGTCCTCGGTTGTTTTTTTTGTTTTTTCTTTCGTTGCTGCGGTGGTGGTGGTGGTGGTGCTGCTACTGTAGTAGTACTTTCTGCGCTGTGTGTGATTCCGCCACTTGTTTCTCCACCGTTTTCTTTCCCCTCTCTTTTGATTAAACAAGTGGTGTTCATCCAAAAGATGCTTATTTAAGGATCCGGGGCGGCGGAGGATCTCTCGCGCCGAAGCGACGTAGTTTTATCCGTTCATCTCGCCGGAATGTTCTCCTAGGGAGCACGGGCCCGTCATCGCCGCCGCCTCCTCCTCCCACGATTGTCTCTCGATGAAGAAGAATTTGGTCGGGGAAGAATGAGTTTATCCATTTTCACGTCGCACTTAAAACAGCTGGCCCCGATAGAAATCAAAGTTTATGGGGGTGGTTTGTAACTTTGTAAAGTTGGAGGGCTAGCTTCGTAACAGTGCCAAATTTTCAAGAGAGCGATATGTGGTTTTTTCGAAAGTCATCGTGATTGATTTATGATATGTCCAATTGTGACTTCTTCGAAACTCATTTGTTTTCAAAAACTGTTCTTGTTACTTATAGCTTTTTGCTTATATATTCAATTTACTCATAATTAACGCTCAATTTATAGTTATGAATCTAATTTACAGTAAGAAAGAGATAAATCAGGGGTTGGGTCGACAATTTCGAACCTCGTCAATTACAAAAGAAAGAGATTACATATGTATAGGCGGCACGGTAATTATTTTTAGATCTCGTGCCTTTCTATCAATGAGGAGCATGAACCAGACTCCAACGATAAACACTTATCCGAGAGATTGACACGGAGAACGTCATTGAGTGTGACCCTGCCCAGGCTCTAACAGCTCCTTGAGGATGCAGTTTATGACACATTATCATGCCCCTAACTTGGCAAAAACCAAGAGACGAAGACCCAGAAGGATTATGCGAAACGAACACCACAATGCCAAATGGAGCTACAAAACACAATATAAAAGCTTTATATCTCTGCAGGTTCTTCCCCCACACGGCAGTGCAGTTCTGAAGAACAGTTGCCGATCAATATCAAGTCACAATCTCATTAAACATCACAGTAAGTAACTTTTTCGAAGCACTAAGTCTGCACTTGGGAGTCAGCTTCAAGGGACCATGCATTATTTGTCTTTTGAAGTGAATGCTGGATGGTAGAGACAACAACAACAAAGGATGACCTCACCTTTCCAGGCTTTCCCATCAATTTCACTTCACCTCCAAGCTTCTCGTATTTGGACCCCGACGTACCGGACGAAATGGATATGACATACCCCACCCAAAAGCTTATATAAAGTGAAGGTCCTACATGTAGATGAAGTGAATTCATAACCCAATGGAAAATAACAAAAGATCATCTCAGACTGAATAAGGTACAGACCATTACATCCTTCAGTAAATAGCTTATATTGCCGACGGCAAACTATAGCTACGCGTGAGCTATTATAATTTGAAGGAACTCAGAGTAACATAGAGCTTTAAATTTGTCAGATATAATAAGTGCATGCACCACAAACTCTGATTTATGGGTTCCAGTGATTGGGGTGAAAGATTTACTGCACTAAAAATGCTTGTTCATGTATTTGAAAGTAAATGACCAAACCACATAGATTCATGCACCCTATCTAAGCTTAAAAAGATTTCTAGGTTAGCACCCAGAAAATAAATTCATGCACTTCGTATTCCGGAAAAGAATCTCATTATCATCTTACCGGGCATTGCGCGCAAGGCTCGAGCCTCAACTGTCACGATATTAGGATTCGTCACCCCCATCGGAATTCTGCTAGCTGCACATCGCTCCAATTCTTCAGCGCCGTGAGCCAAAATAAACTCTGCTTCTGCAACGTCCTCCACAACTTTCAAGCCTAATCCCTAAAACGAGAATTCAGGGTTTAAGCTTTACCGCATGTTTATAAAAGAGTCCAATGTCGAGCGATGCACTCGTAGTATGGGCCTTCTTGAATTATGGTTGAATAAACAAAAAACCCCAGGGCCATGAATCTTATACCAAGTATAGAATTTTCTCATTTTTATTTCTTGTGACTGAACAAATGAGAAGAAGAGCTGCACTTACGAAATTCTTTGTATTGCCAGGGTAGGCAAAGGATGCTGAAGCAACCGTGTCTCTAAACCTCTGGAGATATGGCAAACATAGTAAGTTCCACATTCCAAAAACTCGGAACCGGTTCTAATAGGGTAGGTTTGGAACCTTACTTACCCTAAAACCGATCACCCCTAGGCCCAAGAGAAGCAAAACAAGCATCATATCTCCTATTTCAAGAATACAATGTCCTATGAGTTTGAGAACAGAGGAGTAGGCTTCCAGAGAAAAGTGATATACAATGCCATGGACCGTTAGGACGTTAATGTACGTATGGCGAGAGAGATGTGAAGGCCATCCCAAATAACTCCTTTTAGTCTACTTTGTGATAAAACTAATTTAATTTAAATATGATTTTCTGGATCTTCGTCCAATATGACTAGAAGAAACGAATCATAGTCATTCGTGGGTGACTAGTTATGTATGTGGAAAGACAATTCATGTAAATGGTGCAAATTTTTCTCAGACATCGATTTTATCTCAATGAACTGAAAGAAGATAACAGAAGTTATATCTCGTCGACCATGAATCAAACTTGAACTCGGGGCAAAGGTTTCTAGACCTTGCGAATGTGAACGAGTTAAATATCTGCCGATCATGGCGCCACGGGCTTGGAGCTCAAAACACCGAGGAGGGGCGGATTAGGTAGCATTGCCCGCGAGCCGGAAGGGGAGAGATGCGGCGCAGCTGATGAGTTTGAGGGCTGGTCTAGCTGGAGATAGAGAAAAGAAGTGTATTTTCATCGGTTCAAAGCCCCTAGATCCATGGCCGCACCAACCGCCACTGCAACACCCGCCGCAGGCATACTCATGGTCCTCATGCAAGACTGCCATCAAGGCCATGGTGAGCTTCGCCGGCCATCGCGGCACTGTTCTTTTCGACAGTTCAAAGGCGGGCAATGCAGAGAGGGCAAGGACTCGAGAAAAACGGCTCATGGGTGGCAAGAGGTTTCACATTAATGCCTCCCGGCAGACTTTATGCGATTCAAAGGGAATATCCAGGGAGTGACCGTGGATGAGGAAGCTTCGAAATGGGGAGAGGACAGGGAGGTTCCAAGGGAAGAGCTTAATGAAACAGTCCAAGAGACGACGGAGCGGGAGATATGAGCGAGAAGAGAGACAAATACGGGAATTTCGACAGGCACATTCAGCAAGTGCCCTTACTTAAGAGGGAAGCTATCCTTGTCTTGTGATGATGTCGATCAACAAGAAAGGCATACAAAGGTCTCCGCAGGATGAGTAGAGACAGGAAAAGTTCCCGATTCAAGGCTCTGAACTAGTCGATTCTACTCGGGAAAGGTTCTAGGTGGAACCGAAAACCAATCCAGTCTTGAACCGGATAACAAAGTTCGTTGTTTCTCTTTTTAGACTCTCGAGGAATCCTCAAGCAAAATTTTATTGAAATCAATATATTCGGTTATAACTTATCTTCGTGTGGATATTTGCGAACGTGAAAGTTGGAAAGTTTTGAAAGGTAATTTGAGTCTTGCTGTAGTAGTTTTCTGACATGGATGATTGAGTGCACAACTTTACGTTCCACCGGTGATAATGCTTTATGGAAATTCAAGCATTTTTTAAGCTTGTCGAATTGCATTTTCTCTTTATATATGCCATGCATTTCTTTCAGAAAATGGAGGTAAATTGATGATGTTCAGTGAGTCTGCTCCTTTTCTGCTGCAATATCTGCAAAGTAATGCAAAAACGAGGAAGAAAGACCCAACGAACAACCTTTTATCCAGATCACGACTTTTAAAAAGGCCTCGTATAAGGGCTAAGAGAAGACGTTAATTTGTACATCATTTATTGGAATAATTGGCGCTTTAAAACCTGCATGCAAATTGCTCTAAGTCAAAACTACCCGTATGATTAAAGACTCGGACTTAAACAGATATATGAGACATGAAGGATGTTTCATGGACCTGTAAATAGCCAGATCTTTACGCTCATGTCCTAGATTGTTAAAAAAAATGCATTTACACATTTATTTTTTAGGATGCACATGCATCGGGTCTGCCGGTCCGCTGGTTTCTTATTAAACTAGCAATAGATATTTCATAGCAGTACATTCTGTTGTCTTTATGACATGCGAAATGCAATGGCAATGAAGTCCCAAGTTCTCCCTAAACATATCTTCTTGCAGTCTATGCTATATTAATATCACCATTACCATCTGAGCTTGTTTGGATGTCAGGGCGAGGGGAGTCTCACCTTTTGAGCTCTTCAAGAAGTTCTGTCTTGGGTGAGAAATGGCCCAACGGGGCAACCAGTGACAGCCCTTGCATCCGCATGATGGTGCGTCATGTAGCTGCTACTGTTATTACTGATGTTGTTCATAAAGTCCAGCAGAATAATTTCCAATAACAGTTTTATTTGGAATAGACTGGGAATGAATTCGCTATCAAGTGAACCAAACAAGTAGTAAGAACCCAAGTCTGTCATTTGACGCAACAATCATGTTGATCGGACACTGGATGGCAAAAAGATACAATCCATTGTTCAAAAGTAGTCTCCTGGAAACTTAAGAGTCATTCTCCTCTCATTCCCTTACAAATACTTTCTAATAGTTGTGCCCTCTGAAAGTGAAAAATTTTCTATAAAAATTATCTACTCAAAATAATTATACCATGAATATACTCACCGGAATGTACTCTACCAGGTAAATGAAGGCAACACGTATGATGGACAAGAACTATATTTGGACGCTAAAGCCGCCACACGAGATGTATCTGCAACTTCTGCAAAACTGTCAAGTCCAAGTTCAGAGGCGTGTATTCCACACGTGATGAAGGCTGATTGGATTCCAACTGCATTCGCACCCTTAATGTCGTGGTGGAGAGAATCTCCTACTGCTATAGAATCAGAAGCATCTGCGTCAGCCATCTTCATAGCTGCTTCATAGATAATCTGGTTCAACAGGAATGCGACATTCTACAACGTTAGCGATCATGATAAAGTAAACAATGAAAACAAAGAAAAATTTATCCTAGAGATTGACACAGAGAACATCATTGAGTGTGACCCTAACCATGGTTAGTTCCTAAAATCTAACAGTTCCTTGAGGATACAGTTTATGACACATTATTACGCTTCTTAATTGGCAAAACCAAAGGAAGACACGGAAGAATTATGTGAAATGAACACCCCTATGCCAAATGGATCTATAAAACACAATAAAAGCTATATCTCTGCAGGTTCTTCCCCCACTCGGGAATGCAGTTCTGTAACACAGCTGCCGAATGGTATCAAGTCGTAATCTCATTAACGTCACATGTAGCTCACATCTGTGAACATGCATACATGCATGCACCCAAACTACAGCTTTTTTGAAGCACTAAGTCTGCACTTAGGAGTCCACTTCAAATGATCATACATTATTTGTCCTTTAAAGTGAATAAAGGATGCTAGTGACAACAACACCAAAAGACAATCTCACCTTCCCAGGCTTCCCCATCCATTTGACTTCACCTCCAAGCTTCTCATATTTGGATGCCAACGTACCTAACAAAATAAATATTAGTTACCCCACCTAAATGCTTATATAATGAAAGTCCTACATGCAGAAGAAGTGGATCCATAACTAATGGAAAACAATAAACGATCATCTCACACTGAATAAGGTACAGACCATTACATCCTTCAGTTAATAGCTTAATTTGCTGACAGCAAACTATAGCTACATGTGAGCTATTATAATTGGAAGGAACTCAATAACATAGAGCACTCAATTCCCAAGTTAAGTATCATAAAAAGTCAATAAGTCTTTTAAATGCTCAGATATAAGTGCATGCACCACCAACTCTGATTTATGGGTTCCAGTCATTGGGGCGAAAGATTCACTGCGCTAAAAATGCTTGTTCATGTATTTGAAAGTAAGTGACCGAACCACATAGATTCAAGCACCATATCTAAGCTTAAAAAGACAACTTCAAGGATAGCACCCAGAAAACGAATCCACATACGTCAAAGAGTTTCATATGCCGGAAAAGAATTTCATTATCATCTTACCGGGCATTACGCGCAAGGATCTAGCCTCAACTGTCACAAAATCAGGATTGGCTACCACCATAGGAATTCTTTTAGCTGCACATTGCTCCAATATTTTCTCAAGATCCTCTAATTTCATAGGTCGTACTGAACCTGAAGCCTGACCCAAAGCTTCGGTGCCGTGAGCCAAAATAAACTCTGCTTCTGCAACGTTCTCCACAACTTTCAAGCCTAAGCCCTAAAACAAGAAATCATGTTTAAACTTACCACATGTTTAGAAAAATGTCCAATGTCCAGTGACGCACTCATAGTATGGGCTTTTTCGAATTATGGTTAAATAAACAATAATTCCTCGGGCCTCGAATCTTATTTAAGTACAGAATTTTCTCATTTTTTATTTATTGTGAACGAAACATATAAGAAGAAGAGCTGCACTCATGAAATTCTCTGTATTGCTTGGGGTGTGCAAAGGATGCTGAAGCAACCATGTTTCTAAACCTCCAGAGATATCGCGCCCCGGTCACTCCAGGTCATATGAATGCATGATGTCCCAAGGGCAGCAAACCAAGCATCATCTCTCCTATTTCAGGAAACAATTTCCTATGAGTTTGAGAACAGGAGTAAGCTTTCAAAGAAAAGTACTATACAATACCATGGACAAATAGGACATTAATGTTCGTACAGAGAGAGAGAGAGAGAGAGTGAGTGAGTGATGGTGATCCCAACGAAGTCCTCTTAGTCAATTTGAGATAAAACTAATTGAATTTACAAAGATTTTGCAGAACTTCATCGATTATGACTAGAAGAAACAAATCGTAGTCATTCGTAGATGACTAGTTATTTATGTGAAAGATAAGTCAGATAAATGGTACAAATATTTCTCAGACATTGATTTTATCTCATGAATTGAAAAAAGAGAACAGAAGTAATTAAAACATCTAGAAATTACAATCAACAGAGAAAACTGCAGGCTAAAGTAATCCACTTTTTACCATCCAAATAGTCGTTATGACAAAGTTCAGTATTAATGTGCTCAAGACATATGTTTCGGAACATTTAGCAATAATGTTGGAGGTCTATTGTCAAGATTAGAAACTTATCTATCAGATTCCATATATATGCAAAACTTAAATTCTGAAAATGATAATATTCCACTAGTCATACAATTGGAGTCCACAAATATAAAGTAATAGAAGAGGATAACAGACCTCTTCAAGTACTGATACGTGAGTTCTCCGCTGGTGATGGTTCCCACAAAGAGAGAAGGATCAAATCCAAGGTGCTTCATCTTTTCCATGGTTGTCGATGCACGCCTAGAGGAATTACTTATGATCACCATCTTCGCACCACTACATGCTAGTTTTTCCACTGTCAGCCAAATAAAAGTTTTTAACAACTGCTATCAGCTGACTAATGGCATATCGCTATACCAAACAAGAAGATGAAAACATACAAGTTGAAATTGCTCCAGGATAGGGCTGTTTGCCATCATGAAGGACACCAAATTGATCCAAGAACCACGCCTAAGGAGATCATTGCAAAAGCCAATGAGACTTTCATATGCAAGAGTAGTGACCCAAATCAATTGCGAGGACCTCAATATTCATCAGTATGCAAGAGTCGGGTAATCAAATGAAATGCAAGAGAAAAGCATGCGACAGATAACTCATAAATGGTTTGGTTGACTTCAACTTGCCGATCCTTTTCAAAAGTAATTCCATCGATGAATTAATACTTAATTGTTTGCATGAGATTTGCTGCTTAACTTGGAAAAGTTTTGCTTTCATCTAGGATGTACCGGCATACAAAAAAGACTCTAACGACAATCCCGGACGCATAAAGAGGGTGCTTGAAACTTGAGGCACTTAGAAACCATCATCCCGCAAGCTAAGATCTAGTCATAAATTCGGACTCACACAAGGGACAATCAGTGCGACATAAATTTCTCCACTTTCAGTTTCACAGAAACATCAAAAGTCGAAGCAGTGCTCAAGTGGCCTAAGCCCCACCCCCTTTAAAGGAATGAGATGACTATATGAGTCAGGATACAATTTCTAAGGTTGTTAGCAGCCAAGAAAAGCTGATGATGGTGCTGCTGACACGGCAATTGCGGCCGAGCAGGTCGGACCTAACGCATGTGTACTAAGCTAAAAAGGAACCGAAGATTGCGTGCGGATGGGAATATCAATTAACGAGCTTGTTACGAGCTCATGATTGAGCCCTTCTTGTTTTCCAACATTCGGAGAGCAAGAACGGGTTGAGTTGAGAGAGGATAACACACCCTTCAGATTACATTACAACAACATTTCCCCTCCCTCCCTCCTTTCAATTTCCATCTTTGCTCTGCTTTATCAACAGTTCCATCGCCAATTCTTGACAAACGCATGCTGGCGAGTCAAATTCGCCACAGATGATCACACATATGACAATGATGCTTCTACCAGTTCTGACCCAAAAGCAAATTGAATAGCATTCGGCCATATCTTTTGTTCCCTCGTCATCTCATGAGAAGTGCAAGTGCAATGCAGTTGTCGCCGAACTCAACCAATCCAAACAGCACAAGAAGAGACGCAATGCACGACGATTTCTCGGAAAAACAAGAAGACCCAGAACATAATCAGTCCAAAAGAAAGAAATTTTTGCAAATGCTGTACCGAGAGCATCGTCTGCTTCGGCATTTTGTGGTGGGTGGGGGGGGGTACTACCTTGAAGCGACGCGATTCCGCGAGATGCCGAATCCCGCTCAAGCTCTGCAACGACTGAACGTCGCTCGACGATGGAGGCATCGAGCATCGACCCAGCATCTCTCTTCTTCTCCGAGGAAGATGGAAATGAATCGCGAGCGCCGCGCTGGGACTGACGAGGAACCAACCTTCAGCTTCCAAACTGCTGACGAAAGACTGGACCGGACGGTGGGTGCTTCGTGTGTTTAATAACATTGGTCCTTTTAGTGCTCGTTGTTCGAATTCGATCTCCTAAACATTAATTTAATCAAGTTTAATAATTAGAATATACGATGGTAAATACAAAAAATAAAAAAAAAAGAGTTTTGCAATGCCCCTTTTTTTTTTAAGGATAACGACACAAATTATTCCTAAACTTTTAATTTAATCAATATGATTCCCCGAATTTTAAGTTAAATACGCATGATATGATTATGAACTGCCAATTTGTTCAAAGTGATTATAACATTGAACATTTTCATATAGTTTAGGAATTATATTGAGCATGTACCAAAAGTCTAAAAATCACATTACACATTGAGCTGAAGTTCATGAACTATATTGAATAAATTAAAAGTTCATGAATCACATTGCACATTAGACCAAATTTCAAAAACCATTTGTCCCATTTTCCCCTCGTTCTATTAATGTGAATAGCTTTTCTCTCGTGCAACATGTGCATATATTGATAGCAATTAGTGCGAATTGTTTCTTACGTTACTAATAGATCCAATAAATAATCCTTCACGAAAACAAGAAAAGGAAATGGAAAGCATAATTGTGCAACGATATAAGTTAAGAGGTTTAATTTCAAGTTTAAATCGTGTTGGGTCACATGCCGCTGCCCCTGAACCAAGGTCATATAGTACTGATTTCCAGACCCCGTTACACATCGAAGCACCATGACACTGAACTCTTTTACGGCCGTTTAAATTATGATAGACAAGGTAGTACCCAACTCAATGAAAATTCAATGCCACATTGACAATAAATAAGACCATACGAGACCTCTCACTTAATCCATACATTCATCTATTTCTGGAACTAGTCAGCATGTTTTATATTCTTACGTTGCACATCGCGAGACGACATCACCAATTTATTTTGCATACATTAAATTGAGTTATATACATGCACATTGATGAAAGTTCTAAGAACCAAAACAATGTTATAGCACTACCCCGTCCAGATTTATGTAACTGTAAAAGCACAGGGTACTCAGAGAAATTGCCCGTCGGCCATAGTGATGGCAACAACAAACTCTGCTAATCGCACATTAACATTAGAGTCGAAACAAGAAATAAGGTCCATACCAAGCTAACTTCTCAAATAAGAGATGGTATTATGTTTCGGAAACATCCCAACCTGCAAATGGTAACGGTAAACAAAAAGAGAACAGGGAGCAAAACCCTAAAAGGCTGATTGACTAGGGGCAAAAATAAGTCTCTCTCAAAGCGTCAGGTCCATTATGGAACACATTCACTCGTCGTCTTCATCCTCGTCGTCCACTCCAGCAGCTGAATTCAGGGCATTAAGTCGTTCGATCAACTTGGCCTTCCTTTCCTCGTATGTCAACTTCCTCAAATTGAATCTGGCAAGAAAAGATGACCAGCCTGTCAGTACACGGATCCATTCGGAGTATACATATATCTAACTGAGAACTTCTATATCAAGACAAATGAACAAGCATATGCCAACGATTGCAAACGCCTCTCTCACGGAAACCAAAACAAACCATCAAGGCAACTCCATTATATTAACACAATAAACAAAACACAGCAAGAAATTATTTCTATATACAGAGTGAGAAAAAGCATCCTTGCAAGGCAAAAAAGTCCTTAATTAAGTGAAAAAGATATATTAATTATAAAAATCCTCGAGATTTTAAAAACTAGCAAACTATAGGCACAAGAAAAGAATAAATCAGCACAACGCCCACAACATTATGCAAAGCAGCACAGTTATTTTTTTGTCAGCATATATATACCCCGACCTCTTATGTTCCTTAGGTGGTTCCTTCTTAGTTTTCTTTATAGTAGGATCAGCACGAATAGCAGCATGAACTTTCTTGTACAACCCTTCAAGGTCATCCGCCTCAAGTCCTCTCTTGATGTACTCACTGAAGTGAGATTGATACTTCTCAGGTTCATCTTCCATCAATGTCTGCATAAACATGGAAACATACCAGAGAAATTCGGCTCGCCTTCAGAACAGGGAGGAGAATGAAGGGATAGAACATCAGAATCGCACAAAAGCACAAGTTACCCTCATGTAAGCAGCAACATGCCCACCATAGATGTACTTGCGGTGAACATCTGCATCGAGCTGCTTGCTGTCCTTTGAGAAACCAGCAAATCTCTTTTCACTGTGTGGAATATCCAAACCACCATCCAATGCTCCCTGAAGAAAAAAGAAGATGTGCGTGAATATTTCCAGACATACAATCTGGTGCATATAGAATAACGCTTTTCTGTCGACATACTACGTTCACAAGAAGCCACAGGTTCGGGAAACAATTATCATACCTTAAGCGCACCAAAAACACGGTTTCCAGTTGTCGTTCTCACAAGACCAACATCAAGAAGAGCTCGGAATGGCCTCCTGGTCTCAGCAGGCTCAACGGAGAAATCCTCTCCAGTTGCCTGAGAATGACAAAATGGAACTTACTTAAGTCAAAATGGTTCATCAAGAAAATGGTTAATCATGTGTAATAGATATACCTCAACATTGCCTTCATATTCTTGGTCCATTTCAAGCATTTTCAAAACCCGGCGAGCCAAGAGGAGTCCAGTGCAATATGCTAATCCATTAAAAAGATGGAAAGATTCAGCCAAAGAGGCCAGAATATGTATATACCGATAAAAGAGCCAAACAAGCTTATGTTCCAGTAGGGAATGAGTATGGTTGTATCAGATAAAGGAAGAGAGAGCAGAACTAAAACAAACAAGGACATACCAGCTGCATAGTTCGTCAGACCAACTTCAAGCCCATAGCAAGGCAGCTCACAGGAATATGCTGCAGCCAGTACAAGATCTCCAGCAATGCTAGCAGATATTATTTGCGCAACAATAAACTTATTGGACTATAAAAAGGTTAAGGTTCCAAATCCTCTATGTATGAGACACAAAAAAAAACACAACATTCTATTCCTTTAACTGAAAACTTTTCATGGATTCTTCAGTACACCAAAAACTTTTCATATCAGAGGCACATCCCAATTAGAAAATGCATGTCTTTGAGGTCTCTGGTTGACTTTATAACCACTATATTTCCTACAATAAACCCACCAATGAAAAGCGACAACCGCGTTATAGGATACAGAGCGCACCACAAAGCGATACTTGGGAGTGTTGTACTTGTTTTTGTCTTGATTAATCAGGCGAATTCTAGCCCTGTAGTCGGTCTTCCCATCTGCAAAGACACAGGGAGAACATTTCAATAACAGCGGAATTATGCTAATCACACGCAACTTCCACAGCCAAAGACTTGATCCTATACCTCTCCTTCTCTTGTACTTGACTTGGTACCTCTTAAAGTAAGCCTTGCTCTTCTGAGCCTTGACAAATACCTGATACACAGTGCAGGGGTACGTATCATCAGTTACGGAAAGAACCGGAAACAGAACATTCGATGAAACAATGAGAACCAAACACGGTAAACGACTTCACGTAGATCCCAATAAGGTTTCAAAAAAAACTCATCACCGCGAATTTCACTCGAAAAAACCCATCTTTAAAGCTAGCTACGCCCCTCCGATCGAACAAAGCTCGTCAAATGCCGTCCCCAGATCAGATTGCACCAAGAGAAGACGCCAATCCCACGAAACACACGCCAAATCGAACGAATCAATCGCGAATCCATCAAAAGCCGCTGCCACAAGAGCAAGAACAAAAACAACCATTCTACGCCGAGGTAAGAAGAGACGGCAACGAGCAAGCGACCCAAAGGAAACCGCCTTCACAACAACGAAACAGTCATCTACAGCCGGCCACTACATCGGATCCTCCGCACTCCCGAAAAGGGCCATACTCAACCTTAAAACCAACCAATCCCAGGTACGCTCGAAACCACTCCATCAGCTTTTTCGGAGGGAACCGAAGCAACCACAGCTTCACGAAACAGAAAACCCACAAGAAGCAGAGCAAATCTTACACGGTTTTCTGAGAATCAAAGGGTTCTTCGAACTCACCATTGTCGCGGCAGGCTTGGAGCTCTGGAAGAGAGAGAGAGAGAAGGAGCGAGGAGGAGACGACGGCCGACTGATGTAGAGGAAGGGAGAGTTTATAAAGCAGCTCCAATCGGAAACCCTAGGAAGATCTCTTATGCAATCAGATGGACGGCTGAGATTGGTTCGGCAGCAGCTAGGGCTTTGTCGCTGGTGAAATGGAAGGCATACGGTGAGGCCATTATGTTAACTTGGCTAAGTTCCTGCAAATTTCATCGACATTACATCTTTCTATGACATATTATACTATACTATATTACATATAATAACATATTGAGACTTTTCAGCCCTCAAAATTTCATTGGGCAAAAATTTCATTCTTGCCCAATGCTTGACATCCACAAATTACAATGACATTTTATGACAAAATGGACAAAATCATGTTGTACAATTGTAATTTAAGCAGTCGATGTAATTTACCGGTTGATCCCCTAAATATTTCAGATCTCAAACTTGGACTTAAAAATGCTTCATCTTATTTTATTACTATTTAAATTTGTTATCCAAACTAATTGAAACCTTCCTTTTGCTTTTTTTTTTACAAGCACACGTGCGTGCTCTTTTTCGGTTTTTGTTGCTAATCCACATAAATAAATAATAACAAACTACTCTTTAAGGTAAGCCTCTAACAGTGACACGTTAGGCTCTAAATTGCAAGAGATTAACCATTCTTCTTGCAATGAATTATTTTCTTGCACTATTCACTCATCTTTCCTCCAACTAAGATTTGTGATTGCCTCGTCCAATACCGAGTATTTCGTTCCAAAAAAAAAGACATTACTTCTAATGGGCTTTCACGTTGCAAATTAATATTTTTTTTGTGCTACGCTAATTAATAATTATTGAAAATTCTAATATTTATATTAACTCTTTTTTATTAACTCTTCTTTGCTTAATATTAACTCTTACACCTTTATTTTTAAATTAATATCTATATAACCCATTTACTCACTTTTCAACTTTTCCAAATTTAACCCTTACTTGTGGTGTAAAGTGAAAAAAGAGATTATATTAGAAAAGTGAATTTACAAAACAAAAGTTCAAGATTTGCCCGTCTTGAAAAAAGTACCCACTGACTAGTACAATTGTAGGAGGCTATTCTTTTTGTTTATCTATTGCAACCGTCTTCAATATCTTAACAAAGTTGAAGATCCCGGATGCGTTTGGCGGAAAATATTAACATTTTGGAAAATATTTTAAAATCGTTTTTAAAAAATATTTTCGGAACATGGTGCACCGGTGTTCGGCGTACCAATATGAAAAAGTTCAGGAAAAATATTTTTCGCCGGCGGCGCGTCCGGCATCAGAGGCGGCGTCCGGCCCGGCCCACCACCGACCACGGCTCTGTGTGGCCGTCAGCCGCGGCTGTGCCCGGCAACACGTCCGTCGAAGGCGGAGCTGCCGCGGCCGGCGCGACCAAAGTGAGGAAGAAGAAAAAGAAGCTCCAGGAAAATGATTTCCGCTTTTGAAGAAGCGGGAAGTCGTTTCAGATAAGCTAGGTCTATTTTGTGGAGGAGGGAAGGAAAATATTTTCCCACGGAAAACGTTTTCCGCCCCCTGAACACCGAAAAACCCGAAAAATATTTTCCGGGAGAATATTTTCCGCTTAACAAACGGAGCCTAGAATCCCAAAACAGAAGTTGAATTAAAGATGGATAAATAAAAATCCATAACTTTGGTGTTTATCAATTTATCCAAAAACCCCCCCAGTTTATAGAATTCATCTAGACA